AGGGACTCGGGTTTGATCTCCAGTCCTGCACGCTACACTGGCCACACCCCAGAGGTATGCTGAGTCAACAACTAAGTCTGGGGATAGTGGCACATGTCTGTAATCCCAGTGTAGGGAAAGCTGAAAACATGAGGATCACTAAGATTCCAAGGTGCTTAGTGAGACCCTGTACCAAATTCATAAATGAAAAATAAAATAGTATGCTGCATGCTTAAAAATTATTTTTGTATCTCAAATCCAGGAATTGATATGTTTATTAGTTATCTCCTACTAGTGTATGTGAATGATTTCTTTCTAGATCAATATTCATTAATACCGTATTGTGTGTATAGCTCTTGTATAATATTCCCAACATCTAATTACACATAGAAAATGATAGTTTTGCAAATAGACATAATCATATTTATGTAGAATATTGAAGAAAATTTGGAAATGACCATATAAGGCTCAGTAATAAAACAGTAATACATAAAATTTTAAAAACCATGAACTGTTTCCAAAGGATATCAAGTGTTAATTTCATTTTTTAAACTCTCTCAATCTTGAAAATTTTGAGGTACTTCAATTTATTTTTGTGATCATTTTATATGAGATTTTATTTGAAATGGATACATTCAGTTCTTGATCAAGACTCTCAGTGATGATCACTTCAAAGCCATTGTTATCACCATCAATGAGAAATGTTCATGCGAGAAGTAATAAAATTCAAAACTATTCAAATATTTGAGCTATTAAAATTATATTTAACAGCTCTCTTTCCTTTCAACCACAATTGGAGTATTGAAATTTCTTGTGAAACCCAAATGTCTTTCAAATTTAACCACAATTTTAGGAAAACATTTTAAAACAATAAAATATATTAAAATAGCAATGAAATTCTAATTTGTAAAATGTCTATGTATATTTAAAGTCTATATAATCACCTTGGACAACATAAAATGGGAAAAAACACACTTCATTGGGCAACAGTAATAGATATATGGTATGAAGGAGTTAGGCCAATGCCTGGCCCTATGAATAGGCTTCTCATTTTACTCTTGTATAGGTTCCACTATTCCTTGGCCAACATGTGGTTTAGAATTTACAGTTCTGTAGGATCACTATGGACATCTTGGTCAGAAAAGGCAATGTTCCAGACCTTACAAAGGATTGTATTAGAGGATATAACCTCTAGCTATATCCATTTGTGTGCCACAGATCACTGTTTACAAAGCTTTGATCTATAGTACCATATTACCGAAGCAGGAATTCTGGACTTAATATTTAAATTATATCTATTTTTACTGAAGATGAAAATAGGCTCTATGTATACCAAGTGTCTATTCTGAGCTAGGTGCAATATGCCAGGTGATGTACTTACATAATTTCACAGATTCTCATAATAATTTTGTTAGCCTACTGTTGCCATCCCAGTTTTGGATGTAAGCAATCAATGTCCAAAAAAGACAAAAAAATTGCACAGGTTTATAGAGCCTGTAGGGAACTTGGTTCCTATCACAGATGCATCTGGTTAGAAAGTCCATCATGTTATTTTCTTTAACCAGCCAGCTTGGTTCAAATTCTACTTCTGCTGTTTATTTATTATATGGTTTTAGTTTTTATAATTTCAGTATCTCTTATTGCATCTATAAATAAGAGGTAACAGTTTCTACCTGAAAACTTATATATGTGTGTCCTGAGAATTAGCTATTTTATCCCATATCAGAGTCTCTAGAATAGAGACCCCAGCATATGCAGGGTTGAAGAGCTGTCCATGTGATTACAATCACCAATCAGATTTTTCTAATATACAAAATATTGCAATGAGTGAAGTGCTTAGCTCAGAATTTGGTGCATAGTAAATCCTCAGGAATTATTAGTGGTTACTGCATTTATTTTTATTACCATTATATAAATATGCAATTTTTGGGTGCATTTTTAGTAAAAAAAAGAGTGTAAAATGTGACAGGGTGAGATTTCTTGCAATGTCTCCTACCAAATAGTTTTATTTTATTTTTAAAAGACAAAAAATAGTTTAAAACAACATTAAAAATAATTCCATCTCACCCCAGAAAGAATGGCTATCATTAAGAAATCAACCAATAATAAATGCTGGAGGGGCTGTGGGAAAAAAGGAACACTTCTCCACTGTTAGCAGGAGTGTAGACTGGGATACAACTGTGAAAATCATTGTGCAGATTATTCAGAAAATTAGTATCAAAGATCACATTCAACCCAAATCCCCTCCTGGGTATTTTTCCAGAAGAGCTAAAAACATCATAGCATAGTGATATATGTGCACCCATGTTTACAGCAGCAACATTTGTCATAGTTAAATATTGGAAACAACCCAGATACTCATCAATTAAGGAATGGATAAAAAAGATGTGGTATTTTTATATAATGTAGTATTACTCAGCTATCAAAAAAGATAAGCTCAAGACTTTTACAGGTAACTGAAGCAACTAAAGACCATGCTCACAAGTGAAATAAATGAGATCTGCATGTGTAAACATCGTATTGTCTCCCTAGTGTAAAGAAAGAGTAAATAAAACTCAAAGGTACAACAGGTACTGTGAGAAACAAATAAACTATTCATATGGATGTTCAAACTCATTAACTGGGTTGAGGGAAAGGAGAAAAAAAAGAACAAAAAACTATATATGTATATACACAGGATAGCTTGCATAATTATACTACTGGCTTCTACTGGTCTACTGAGAAGAACAGTTAATGCTTATTTTTTCTTTTCTTTTTTTTTTCCAAATACTTTTGATTCTAAAAGTGTGTGTTGAATGGCTATCACACACACATACACACACACACACACACACACACACACACACACAAATACTTAGAAGGAGCATAGAAGAAATAATGCTATGATTTGCATACACCATAATGTCATAAAGAAAGTTTGATCTTGGTGGTAAGGACTCTGTGATTTAAGTGCTGGTTAACAATTGGGGATTTTGGCTGGGCAAGCCAGTTAACCTTTATTAGCTTCAACTTTTTTATTGCCTAAAATTTGTATAAAACATATAGCCTTGTGAATGAAAAACTAAATTATATAGCCACTTTAAATACCTGAGAAATTATCTAGGCACATAGTGGGATGCTGATAATAAAGTTTGTACTTTATGTCCTATTTCTTTACTTCAGCTTCACATATGCAGTTCATTTTTTTATTAACTTCCTTCTTTTATTTATCAATAATTTACATCCATAAAGTACCGTATGGCCTCGTTTACAGTAAATGGATCTGACACCTGGAATTTCAGAAGGAGAAAGGGGGATTATGCCTTGTTAGGTTCAAAGGCATTTGTCCCCTTGGTATTGATTTTTTTTTAATCAGACAGTATCCAAGACCTTGGCAGAAATAATTGAACTGACAACTAGCAGGCCGAGGTTATTAATAATGGAAGAGCCTAGGACATTCTTGATGATTTAATTTAATGACATAAAGGATGTCTGAAACTGAAATGCCTGGAGTTGGGTCAATGGCTATATCGATGTTGAGAAAAGAAAACACAAGTTATTCCTAAGGGTTATTTGATGAACAAAGCATTTTATGATCATCCCCAATAGAAATATGAAATGGTTTTGATTTTTTTCTCTTTTTAACAGAACAAAAATATAACGGATAAAACCTCAGTGTTATATTTCTTGTTTGTCCTTTATTAAGAAACAAAATAGATGTGGTTAAAATTATGAAAATTAGGAAACATAGTACAGCTCAAGAGTAAAAATTGTGGATATCTCATCTTTTTAACCCTGAGGTGAAAATATCAAATTTGTAATTGATCACTTTTTTGAGACTCAAAATAAAGCTGCTAATATAGTATTCTTCTAGTTGCAGGATAATGTTTAAGATTTTTTAAATGTATATAATTTTTCATACTTCATAATAAAAATTGTTGAATAAAATAATAAATGAGTTTTGATGCTTCATATCTTTTGAAATACAAATTTATAATAATCTCTTAAAATTGTTCCCTATCTGGGGCTGGGGAGATGGCTCAGTGGAATAAGCTCTTCCTGGCAAGCACAAGGATCTGTGTTCAATCCCCGGTTCTGGGAAAAAAAAAAAAAAAAAAAAAAAAATTGTTCCCTTTCTTTAACTACTTAAGCTGACTTAGTTTAGTCCTCATGTTTCCTTTGGAATATTTCAGTGATGTTCATCTTTCAATCCTAGTTTTCTTTTCTTTCATACTCTCTCATCTCATGAAATCTTTTACTAAAGGAGTCTGAACTTTTTATTTATATTATTCTGCTGGATGGGCTTTAGGCATCTACAACATCCTACTCTACTCCCCATCCACCTAGAAAGGGAAAGCAATTTACCTGAGCGTTATGGAAATGTAAATTCATGTTGAAATTTGGATTAAGTCCAGTCTTCCTAACTCATAGTAGAGGATTACAAAGGGGTTGCAGTAGAGAACATACATCTCTAGATTTAGCCAAAGAAATTTCAAGAAACTGTAGAACTTTTAAAGTGCAATTTTGTTCTATTATTAACTTTAATTTTATTAAACAAAAGTATAATTGGTACCCTAATGATAACATTATTCATTCCCATTCAAATTCTAAGCTAGTCCAAAGAAAGGGTATATATTACTGCTAAAATTTACGTAGCATACTCCATTACCAAAGGAAATCCCAAACTCTGTGCACACATTAACTTATTTAATTTCCTTCATAACCCCATGAGCTGAGTTATTGTTACTAGTCCTATTTATTAAATCAGTTTATCAAGACATAGTAGCTTGGTGATTGAGTTGAAATTTATACTCACACTTTAGGTTCTAGGTTCCAGGATTCTCAAGCTAACTGATTTGAAGACAGTTATTCTAATCAGTACTATGAGAATATGCACTGCAGATTTCTAATGGCTGGCAAAAACACTGACCTGTCCTATGAGTACTGGTATCCTTGCTCCACTTTTGGTCACAAGTCTACATTATTTAAAAAAATGGTAACTTACATTTCTTAGTGTCCTAATGAATCTCTTTCTCTTTCAGAGAGTTATTTTCAACATTGTTAACTTCAGTAAAACCAAGAGTCTTTACAGAGATGGTATGGCCCCTATGGTGAAATCTACTAGCAGACCAAAATGGTAAGTGACCCACAGAATGGGATCTCTTTTTGGTTAGAAAATCTGACGCAGGAATTAAGTTTATCTTTCAAATGAGTGAGGTTCAGCCTCACTCTCAGTGAACAAATACAAATAAAATTTATTTTTGAGTGACCATTGCCTGGGCTCTAGACACTGTACTTTGTGGTCCCATAGTCGGAATGAACAAAATTTTATTCTATGGGAAGTTAGAGTATGATATTTGGTAAATTCTTTCCTGTTGTCTTTTATTATCTTATTTTGTAAGCATAAAGTTAGTTTTGTTTCTTTTTTTCCCTAACATATGTAGAAGACCCATAATAACCTAGGAGGACATTGAGAAGTACAATACCGTAATTTTTTCTTGCTTTCCTTAATTTTAGCAGTTTTTAGATAGATACTGTATTTGAATAGATGTGCAAAGCTTTTCCTCCCATCACTATCCTGAGGAAGTAGGATTTGGGTAAGACTACTTAAGAAGTAGGATGATGTGATGAAAGTAACAGCAAAAACCCTCCACTCAATGTGATCTCCTTCTATGTCTGATTCTTCACTTTTGCTCTTTCTATTTATACACTTTTACAAGGCAGATTTTTAAAAATTAGTATGTGGTATTACAGATGAAAACTTTGAGGCTAGGTAAAGTACTTTATGAAAACATAGATATGGGTATGAGAAGTAATCTGCATTTTTGGGTTTGTTTTTTTTGTTTTTTGTTTTTTGTTTTTTTTTTTTTTGCATCACCTCATGCTGCTTTTACAACAAATTCATCTATCCACTCATTCATTTATTTCATTCAACACTTACTGAGTACAACAGAAAATGAGAACTTGAAGATAGAAACAAACTATTATTCATCTATCACACAGTAGGTATTAAGTGAATGCTTATTGAACTGATCTGAATTCATTACAAGAATGCTAAGTGCTCAATAAATATCATCTATTATTAATAGTATTATGTAAAACACTATATGAATGCAAACAATTGTTAATATTATTCTAGCTTTGAACCCTTATCAAATTTTAATGACTAGTGAGAAGATAGTCACCAAATGTCTATATTTATAGAAAACTAGCAATTCATAAATATTGAATTGTGCTTTTATGTATAAATGATACTTGGCAATTTTGCATAAATGCTCGACTGAGAAGCTCAGGTTTATGAAAGTGTAGGCATTTGGTGATGGTAATAAAAATTGTTTATTAAAAGGTAAAAAATATCTCCCAGGCATGTTGTTTGCTTTACTGAATCAATTGAACTAAATTGCTACAACTTTTCTCTCTTCCTGACAAGCAATAGTCCTTTGCTTTAAGTTTCTGAATCCAGTGAAAGTAGGTAACAATAAAATCCATCCATCTATTAATAGGCATATTATAGATAAGCATTTTGAACCATCAAAAGGACATCTTGATCTGTTCATGAGACTCTTTAAAATAGCACTTCATATTTTTTTCCAAGTTTCGTGTTGAAATCTTATACACCAATATTAATTACAATACTCTTTTCTAAAATTTCAATACCCCCACTATTTATCTCTTTGCCTGACTCTCTTTCCATGCCTCTCTTTATCTCTCTCCCTGTCTCTTTTGTTTTGAAAGTCTTCAGGCCTTAACTATTTCATTTTATTCTTTTTTTTTTTCCCCCACAGACTATCAGTTATGTCCTCTTTGTCAGGGTACCTGACAAGACATTGAAATATTAACAAGTTCTTGCATTTATAATAAATACCTTAGCATTAATTTACTGCTCATATCCAGTGTTGGCAGACTCTCAGCTACAGCCATTATCCAGTGATTGAGCTTCTCTGATAGGCTAACACAGCTTAATGTTTTACAACTGAGTTTGTTGTAGATTCTCAAGTCAGTCAGGCATAAGGTACCATGACAAATCAAGATGTTTCTATCTAAAGTCTCCTATCTGTTGCTTTACAATCACTAGACCTTGGATACAAAGCAACTCACATTGCTTCATATTCACTTTCTCTCAAGCCATGTGTGTAGATATTTGTTTATTTCACAGAAATTTATTGAGTGTCTTAATGTATTATGCCTTGCGGTAAATATTGGAGTACAAGATGAAAATGTTTAACAAGGGAATTTTAATTTTTGAATTTTGATTACTCCCTAGGTAGTAACTGTTCTTCCTACCATTTTGCCCCAAGAACTCTTTCTACCTCTTTGTTTTTCTCTACTACGAGCTTTCAAGAACCTACTTTTTAGTAGCAGCTAGCCTATATGTCTCTTGGTTAGGCAAAGGAATTGCCATGGCCATTTGACTATCAGAACATTAAATTTTACTGGCTCCAAATACTGTCACAATTTAGAATTGTAAATAATGGCCTACTCAAGTCTGACAAATACTTTCTAGATCCCAATGTTAAAATATCTTTTCCAGTGTCATTCTTATTCCAATTTTCCCAGTATTAATGCAGGCTTTTCTATAGGAAAAGGAGATGTTATAGATACTTTTCTTGTTTAGGGCTAGCCCTCCTTTGATATAGCAAGTAGGTCATGGAGAAACTCTTATACAAGGATAAAAGTTAAAAGTCCTAAATTGGGCTGAGGTATGAAGTTCACAAGTTCAATCATAACCTGGGCAACCTAGCAACACCCTGCCTCAAAAATATATGACAAGTCCTAGAGATATATCTCTGTATGATGACCCTGTTTTCAATGCCCAATACTCCCCTTACTAAAAACATAGTTCTAAATACCTGAATTTTATGTATAGTGAATTGGGAAAATATATTTCTTCAACTTTTCAAGGTAAATCATTCTTGTTTATGTCTTTCCTTGGGCCTATAACTGATCCAAAGACCTTTAGGTTTTAGCATTTACATGGAAATCAGTTAGCTATTTAAAGCAAATAAATAGAAGACCCCACAGTAAGGTCCTGTAGGCACTCAAGGCTGTTTGGTCAGTCTTAAGGAGATAAATGTGAAAATACCTAGTAGCAAATGTGAAAGGTGGAAAATTCAGAAATTTTCTGTTTTAGTTCATTATAATTCTGTTCACACATTAGTCTTATTAAGGACTTTGGTTGAGATTTTAAATCACAATTTTTCTGAAACTATAACTCATTAAAATTTAATAATGCTTGTTATGGGTTAGCTCTAAAATGTCTTCTGACAGTCTTATGTGACCACAGGTGGGGATTTTAAGAGGTGATCAAATGGGCATTAAACTCATCATTGGATTAAATCATTTATGAGTTCATAGCTGAATGTAATGTTAGGAGGTGAGGCCTGGTTGAAGGAGGTAGATTATTGAAGGGGGTTGTGACCTGGAAGAGTATATTCTTGTCAATGGCTCCTCCCTTTGCTCTGTGTGTTCTAGATGTCCTGGGAGGGAAAGCTTTCTTCTGACATGCACTCTACTTCTCTGTTTCAGCCTTTAGGGCAAGTAACCATGGATTAAATCCTCTGAAACTATAAACTATTTAAATAAGCCTCTCCTCCTTTAGTTATTTTGTTTTGGTGACTGAGAATAACACAGTGCCTATGGCTAAGTTTTGTTATGGGCTAGGCACTGATGGGAGCTGGTATTTTAAGACAACTGAGAGTTGTATCTGCATTTATACAGAAATTGAGGTTAGGAGTACTTGCATAACTGATAAAATTCCTTCCCATATTGGATGGACAGGGATGGCGGGAGAATGGACCTTAAGAAGCATGGAGAAGCATGTTGTTCTGATATACCTATGAAAACTGGATTAATCACTTACTGGTCCAACTATTTAAATATAGGATGACCTGAAATTGCATAATTTTCATTAATTTTTATAAGCTAATAATGTAATGGAAATATAAAAGTAACAGTTTTATTAAATGTATTCAACAATTTTTTCTGCATATGGTATATTTTAAAAACCTTTAATACACAATGCAACATCACAATCTGAATAGCAGTGTCTAGTGTATTTCTAAATTCCTTTCGCATTATTGCCTTTTTATGAACAATACACTTTACACCATCATGTTGGCTTTTTTTTTCTTATAGGTGGTATAATTTCAATAAAAAATCTACCCTCTAAAGGTAATAGCAGAGACATCAATGATAGATGTCCTGGTTGGCATTTTGCTACCTTGAATTTTTCAATTATTTAGTCTATTAGACCTAATCTAAATTGTAAATGGCTTTTTGAACCCTCTTTTTTGAATAAATAACCAACAAGTTCCATATTGTTTGATCCAAAAGATGTATACATATTTTATAATAATATTTTCATCACTTTTTGATTGTTGTTCAAGGGCTGGAGTTATAGCATCCTTGTAGAGTATGTGGTTAACATGCATGAGGTCTGATCCATAGAACTTTTCTCAAAGCAGATATTGAAAAAAATGGTAAATTTTGATGCTATAAAATGGCTTTTGTGATTTTGTTTTCATGTAAGTTTTAAATTTTAAGAATATTGGTATCAGTATGGCAAAATTAATTTTTCAAAAATATTGAAGCCTTAGTGAAGAAAAGGCAAGACATTATACACTCTGCTTTTAGAAAAGATACACTTCTCCCATTTCTGTTATACCTTAAAACAGTTAATTCCATTAAATACCAAATACAGAAATATCTAAATGATAGAGAGCAGAGGAGGGAGTGGGCTTGTCTGTTAGGACCTAAGAAATGGTATGGTGTAGGTTACTTTGGCTTCTTTTGTGCCATGCAATGATAATTCCTGGAGAAGTTGCTGGCCTAGAAATACAAGCACAGACAAAGGCCTGGCTGTTCTCACAATATGAAGCAATCACATAATATTTTGTTGTTAAAAATGATGTTTTGTCATGTTACCTTTCTAATAGCTGTTATTACATTTTTAGGAATTCACATTTTTAAGAATTCTCTGAAAGCCAAATTCTCACCTTCATCTTCCTCATCACGGGTAGAAGCAGGACTGTCCTAGATCTGTGTAACCCTTAGTCATACCATTGCCATTAACCACTCCTAATATATATGGCGATCTACTGCCTTTGTGTGTTTGCAAATGCATGGATTTTCCTAGGA